AGGCGGGGAACATTGCTTTCCTCTGTCACTGAAGCAAGCAAGCCTCATGTTCAGTTTAAGCTGCCTGGCTGCTGGCCACCATCTTGCCTGGCAGTTAATTTGCATATTGCCCTGATTAGCCAATGGGAAGGGTAGCAGTCGTTACGCCAATTACCATGTTTCTCTTTTATTAGATAGGATTGTTAAGACAAAAGTATCACACATGAAAGCTCCATAAAAAAGAAAGACATTTACATTTTATGATCCATAAAAGTAACAGAAAAAGAGGAGTATAAACTGGAGGATAAAAGATTGGTGAGACTCTCAAGTGGCCTTGAAGAGTAATTAATATTTAGACTGGTAAAGAGAGGAGAAAGAGGCATTTCTGATGTAAGGTAACCATGCAAAGGCACAAATGACCACAATAAATATGACATGCAAGAGACTGTGAAGAGATAAATCTAACTATGAGAACTATCTGAAATATGTTTCATTTTGGAGGGCACATAATTTATAAAAGAGTTGGCTTTGAAAGTCTGAGCAGATTAGACTTGTGATAATGAGCCACTAAAGCAATGTTCTTTAAAAATAAAATAATATATATAACAGGTATATTATTGATTTCAGAGAGGAAAGGAAAGGGAGAGAGAGATAGAAATATCAACGATGAGAGGGAATTACTGATTGGCTGCCTCTTGCATGCCACCTACTGGGGATTGTGCTTACAACCCAGGCATGTGCCCTTGACTAGAAAGGAACCTGGGACCATTAGTCTGCAGGCCACCACTCTACCCACTGAGCCAAACCAGCTAAGGCTAAAGCAATGTTCTTAAAACAAATCTTGAATTAAGAAATACTCAGTCAAAAAATTGTTTTATATTTCATTAAATTTTACTTTAAAAATACTACAGTGTTAACTGTGGTTTAGTATTTTTTTAAAAAAGAGATATACTTTTAGAAATAAATACTGAAATATTTACAAACAGTGATATAATTTTTTGTTTCAAAATAATGGAAGGGGAAAGGTGGGTGACCTTGAATTGATAATTGCTGAAGATTAATAAAGTCTCTACACTTTTCTGGACACCACTTTTTTATATGCTTAATATTTTCTTATTTCTTTTTAAAAATTTACTTTATTATTGAAAGTATTACAGATACTTTGGTAAACCAGATCTTCTCTGGTTTTTTGTTTGTTTGTTTGTTTGTTTTTTCCCATTGACCTCTCCATCCTGCACCTGTCCCTCCCAGGCCTTCACCACACTATTGCTTAATATTTTCTTTTACAGTATCTTTAGCCTAACAAATTTAAGGACTACTTTGGGGGGAGGGGGGGATGAATATTCACATAGTGATTAATTGTATTCTAATATTTCCACAAATCTATTTTTTACAAGAACTTAATGATAAATGACTGGCATGAAATAGACTATTAGGGTCTACTAATTAAAACTTTACAAACTACAATTGAATTTAAGAAATTCTGCTTGTGTCAGTGGGAGAGGAAAAGAGGGCACCTGTAATACTTTCAACAATAAAAGTAAATTAAAAAAAGAAACTGTTGTTTCAGAGACGTCTTCATAGCTATTTTAACTCAAAATAGTTTTACTGTATATTTTCACTTTTTAAAATTTCAGATAATTGCAAATTCAACACAAAGCAAATACGTTATTAAGAACTTTATCTCAATCTCAAACCACTTTGTTTTGTGGTTTCAGATATTGTAATGTAAACTTTCATGCAGTGACAATGTTAACACTACATACTGACATGCCTCTTAACGGAAGTCAATACCAGGAACACACAGCATTACCCACCCATCACCAAAATAATGATGTCAAGGACTAATTCTATTTTACTTCTTCCTGTTACCCACAAGCAGATGGCAACATAACACTAGTTTCAACAAAGCAAATTACCCTTCTTCAGAAACAGATGACCACTGCATCAAACCCCTGAACTCTTGCAAAGAAACTATTTGGTTTCACTCTGGCTGAAAGATATTTTATGAAAGATAACTATCATTCTGATTGTGCATTTCTTGAACTTCACCAATAAAAACAAACATTTATTACACCCAGCACTGTGCTACATATGTTATCTCAATTTTACAGATGAGAAAACAAGCTTAGAAAGATTTAGTTCCTTGTGCAAAGTCACACTGCCTATGTATTGGAGACAGGATCTGAATCTACATCAATCTGACCTCAATGTCCACGCTCCTAAACACCTCATCTATCATTTCCCACAAAATTAAACAAGTCTATCATCAATGGTATAGACATAAAGGTATAATATAATCTGACTTAAATCTAAAGCAAGCATCAAATCTTAAAGGTAATTATCTTTGAGGTAATTATATGGGGTAATTATCTTTTTAATAAATAAATTCAACAAAAAGGATATAATCTATAAATAAAAGACTTATTTTTCTTCTCCTTATTTTACTATATTAATCCTATATGATAAAAGCCTAATATGCTAAGTGTCCAGTCGCCCAGTTGTTCGTTCAGCCAATCAAAGTTAATGATATGCTAAGGCCACTCAACCACTTGCTATGACACATACTGCCCA